TAACACATTTAACCAGTTATGATAATTAATACTATATTTACATCTGGTAAGATACATTTACATTTTTTATTTAGGTTTTCGAGCATTGTAGATTTTCAATTTCAGCATCGTATCATGCTGCTTTATTTTGTTGTGTTTTGTTTAATTGACAAAAGTTATAGTAGCAAAGTGTTTGCAGAATGGATGTTTAACTCATGATACTTGCCTTTTATTTCCATTAATTCCCAAAGTTAATAAGTAAACATGTCAATTGAATTAATTATGGTTTTAATCATTTTCCTTTAACTGTTCAACAACTCTTAAGAAGGTATCAAATTAACCCAAATTAAATTTTATGTGTGGAGTGAGTGGGAGAAGGTTAAAAGAATCATGTCTCTTGTAAAATATAGTAATTTATTAACTTAAACAATTTTCTGTAAAGCAGAAATGAGATAGCACTGTACACAGCTTAGAATGGTGAAAATCCACATTGACTACACCAAATATGGGTGAAAGGTGGAGAAACAGGAACTCTCAGACACCACTAATGGGGATACAAAATGGTACAGCCACTTTGGGCGATAGTTTGGCAGTGTCCTACAAAAATAAACAACCTTAGCATCTCATCCAATAATTAGGCTTCTTGGTAGTTACCCAGAGGAGTTGAACAGTGGTATGTGTATGTGTGTTTGTACTAGTGAATTCCCAGAATTAGAATATCTGAAACATAGTAGGTTTACATTCGTTTTATGTATAATCATAATATAATTTTTAATAAGAACACTTAAGTAAAATTCTTGTAACACAAAACAATTTACACTCATATCATTTTGACATTTAAATAGATATTTCAGTTAAAGATTAAAATTTGTTTTAATCCTCTTCGGTCTACTTTTATCTAAGATCATTTGAATTCCTTCATACACACATTTTAACAACTTACAAATTAACATAAATATAGTAGCTTCTATGTTAATTTGATTTATATAAGCAAATTAAATTAATATACTAAAGTTTTTACATATCCCTTATGCTATAAATAAAAAATGTTTTTATAAAAATATGTAAAAATGTTCTATTAGCTAACATTGACAACCTTGAGGAAAAATAGTTTCAATATGCATTCTAATAAATGGATAGCTTTTACACTAAAAACAAACATTCAAGGGTTTCAGCTTATATTGGAATTAAATTAATCAAATTTTAACTATAAATGTTAAAAGAGAAAAATGGTATTTTTATATAGTTAGACTTGAATATTTTTGCACTGAAAGAAATAGGTACTTTTTACTCATGGATGGAGGGATGTATAAAAGTAATTCAAATAGATAAAAACAAATTGGAGCCTTTGAGAAGAATGCAATAATAAGCTTAATTGATATAATCTATAATTTTTAGCACTTATGGACTCAAAAGTTATGGTTGTACGATCAGATATATAAAATGTACTTATTCTGAGTTTCATAGAGACTTGGAGAAGCACTGCCAGCCACAGGGGGGAGGGGTCATTTGAATGTCAGAGAATCTCCATCCTTTTTTAACTGTCTTTGCAGAATGACACTGAGTTAAGAATCACCACAACACCAGGGTCACTGTATTCATGGGAAGAAAGATGGTTTAGATACTACAACCTTGGGACCTCCTTTGTCTTGTTCTCAGTGCCTTGAAACATGACAGCAGAGGGGATTGTATACCGGTCTCCCAAAGCAGGAATTGAATCCATTTCTTTCCCTTAGTGACACCAATCTAGCACAGTCTGTTGATTAAGTTTTGAGAAAGGAATCCTACCAAAGCAAGCAGAGAAAAAAATTTTTTCTTACCTTCTTGCCTGATGTCATTCTTGGATGAGAATTTCAAAATTTATAAATACTGAGGGTGTCAAAAAAATGTAGACAAGTGGACACTTTGGTCAACGTTGCTCAAGCAACGTAGTTTGCGGTAATCGTTAAGTGTGTGGACGCTGATGGTAACCACTTTTTGAGCAGCCCTTGTAACTGTAGAAGTTAAACGTGACTTGTATACATATTTTGTTATCAGTATATATTGAGTTTTACAATGTTAACACAGTTTTCCCCTTTCTTAAAATGTGTGTACATTTTTGTGGCACCCTCTGTATTTGTTGATATTTATTTCTAAATATTTGTCCATCTTTATTAATGATGCTGGTTCTTTTTCTTTCACATTGAACCTTGTTAAAAGGGTAGTAAACATTTAATATTTCTGAATCCTCACTTTGTGTTTACTCCTTAACCAACTGTACTATGTATTCTGCTCCATTTATTCACTGGAATATTTTGTTAAATCACCAATTATCTTCAACTTAAGGAATCCAATGGGCATGTTTTATTGTTTCTCTTACTTTTACTCTGAAACATTTGACATTTCATCATAACTTTTTTCTTGAAAATTATTTTTCCTTTAGCTTCCTCCTCTTGAGTACTTTCTTTTAGTTTTCCTGCCACTTCTCAGATACTACTTTCTTTTTTCTTTTTTTCCATTTCAAGCTCTGCTTGCTCTATCTGCAATTTAAGCAGTGATATTGTCTGGATTTTGGTACTATATTTATCTTTCACTTTACAAATAACCATTGGGCAAACTTGCTGAATCCATATATAAGTTGATTTAGAAACTCAGTTTTGAAGATGAGAGAAGTAGGAATAAAAATAATTCTGTGTAAAATAAGTCTGCTCCTTTCTAGCTCTGTAACTTTGAACAGTTATTTAATCTGTCTGTGCCTTGGTTCATCATGTGTAAAATAGTGACAATTGTATTGTCCATCCTTTTTGGATTGTCATGAGGGTTAAGTGATTTAATATGTACAAAGCCAGGGCACATAGTAAATCTGCATTACATGTAATCTATGGTTAATAACGGATGCACCTATTTATTTGTAAAAAAAAAATCTGTAACAGATTTTTATTGAATCTATAAATTCTACAAAGTTTTACATAATTATGTAACTGTTTATTGTACATTTCTGTAGAATATGAGTTCCTTAACTGCATTGCTTTTATTTTTATTTTCATTGTATTGCCAGCAATACCTCAAAGATTGGACTTTGGAAATTTACAATTTGGAAGTAAAAGTATTAATACAGAGCATCATGATGATCACATTACTTGATTAGATCAAAATTAGTGTAGCAACCCAAATTGTATCCCCTTCCTCAAATTTAAATTGTTCAGTCAAAAGGTTCTCAACGTTTAAATTCTATTTTCCATCTGCCTCTCACCCATATGCTGATCCTCACATTGCCTGTGGTCCCAGGTCAGCAACTCTGAACTCCATCCCTCCCCCTTCCTTGGTCGTCGTATAGAAGGAGCTATAGACTTAAGGTTAAACACAGAAATCCCAGGTAGGATTATTGGAATGGTCTATTACTCTTTTTCTCCTTCTTTCAGCAAACATCTCTATCTCTATTCCTGAAACACACCCATATGCACACACATGGGCACACATATGCCTACACACAAGCACACACACACACACACACACACACACACACACACATTTGAAGGTTCCTTTTGTGTCACTTTCCCAGATACCAGAATTGTCACCTATCCTTCTAGATTTGATGACTTCTCTCTTTTGTCAGTGATTGCATTATTATTAAGAAAACATATTATTCTTTACTGAGAACAGAATATTGCAAATTTGACTTGATCTGCAGGACAAAGTTTGCATTTTGTTGTAAAAAAAGTTCTTGACAGTATTGCTAACCAATAAAATTGATGGACAACAGTCATTTCATTCTCTTTGAAAAATAAGATAGTATCTCAGCTCTCTAGCAGAGATTGTTTTCCATTTTGTCTTAAAAGAGACTGACTTCAAATATTGGTTTTCAACCCCATGTTTCTTAGACATATATGTATAAAATTCTTTAGAAATCTTTTAAAAATATAGATTCTGTCAAGTCCTGTTGTCCAAATTGATCACAATCATAAAGTTAGTTTTTTCCCTAAAAATATGTTGTAAAAAATTCTTAGATAATATAATACATACTCATGCATTTATAAATTATATGATGCACTGTATTTCCTGTAATATAGTTTATATCATATTTACTAACAGTACTATGCATTTCATGTTAATGCACTATTTATAAAGACATCATTATGGGACCATTGTAAGTAAAATCCTTTGTAAAATAATTATGTGAACATTTTAGAACAATTGCAGTTATTTTTTAAGACACTAAGTCAAACAATTATTTTCATTAACTAATGTTCCCACTGTTGTGATCGTATTCTAGGGGCGATATGGAAAATCTGCATTGCATTGTTACTTCAGCATTGCTACTTCAATAAGCTTATACTTTAGTTACAGAGATGAAATTTGCAAAGTTAAAACTTCAAGGTGCAAAATGCAAAAATATACCGTTATACACTGAATGCTCCAAAAGGAAAATAAGTGAATATCAGAAATAAAGAAAAACTTTTGGAAGACTATAAGTATGAGCTTAATGTCATTATAAATAGAATTACAGAAAACACACACACACACACACACATTCTTCAAAAAAAATCCAAATATAAAAACATAACTTCAATTAAAAATGTGCTATAGTATTAAGAGCCAGATATATATACATTTAAGTGCAAAATTCAACACAGTCTAACCCTTGGCTAGGGCAAGTCTTTTCATCTCCCTATAGCTCATGTTCAAAACCTGTGAAACTATCAATATAGGGACCTACAGTGAGGATTAATACTAAGATAGTATTTAAGCACTGGGAACAACTGAAGCTATCATGTGTTTCTATGTCCCTCATAGAACCAATGACTTTGGTATGGAAAAAACACACAGTGAATACATTATTAGATTTGATACAAATGAAAATTTTCTATCCTACCATGAAAATAGCCCATTTTTTTCTTGTATAAGTTATAAAGTATAAAATAAAACATGAAAATGATGTACAAAGTATGTCATGTGAAAGATATCAGCTTCTAAATATTAATAAAATAATGACTCCCTTTTAAAAATATTGCCTTGAAAATAACTTAGTTCTTTTGTTACAGGAGATAACTGCAAGGCCACTGAATACAGCAAGATGAAAAGCATGCTTTTAGATTTACAAAATCAAAAATATATCACACAAGAAAATGAAAACCCTAACGGTGATGACATATCTCGGAAGAAGTTGTTGGTGGATGAAATGTTTAAATATTTTGATGCCGACAGTAATGGACTTATAGATATTAATGAACTAATTCAGGTATGATTAATCATTAAATTAATAAGCTTATTTAAATGCAGTATTTATAATATATTTACATTTGTGTGAACATGTTGTCTATTAATAAAATATATATATTTAAACTATATTATTTGAGAGTGTGGAGATAAATATTTTTAAGAGTAAAATTTGACTTCTATCAGCAGTCAATTTTATATGATATTTCATGGTTTAAAAAGAGGACTTTTACAGGTTTATATACCTTAAATACCTAAAGGAATTACCAGTTCTCTATTTTATTGAATTTATAAAATGTCTCCAGATATATTCTAGAGGCTTTGTCATGTTTAATTTTCTATTAGCCAATGAAAGCTTATTTATCCAGTATTCAAGGAAACTATTGACCAGCAATTGAGCATATCTGTAATGAAATATAAATAAATTATTGAAGATGATATTAAATTACTGACATATTCCAGTATGTTTTCAATAATCAAGGATCAATTATAATATACTCCATTTTCATTTAATATTAAGTCCATGTTATTAAAATTTCATTTTTTTGAAAATTGTTACCTAAATATATATATAACTCTTGTTATTAAAGAGAATATATTAATAAACAAAAGGTCCTATGTGAACCATTTTGAAAAATAAACATATTTTTATGGTGTGTCACTGAGACAGACAGACTAGTTTAAAGGAAATTGTAATACTCAGATTAAAGAGTCTAAACTAGTTGTGGATAGTATTGGAAATGTAAAATAAAGAACATAAGATTTCTCCAAATATATGCACAGGTTTCAGGAAGTAATGTTGAAAAAAAAACCTAGGATGATGAGAAAAATGGCGATAGCGCTGAAGAATTCTGATGACTTATGCCTATAGTGTATCTTGAGGCAGATTTTGCCGCTGTGCTTAGTAGTCAATACAGTTTTTTAAAAAATTCAAAAAATCAATAATGTGTTTTCATAACATCATACCATTCATCTTTTATGGTTAATTGTATGGCTTATTTTTAAAATCTGACATTATGGAATATTGGTCTTATCATGTAATTATCTCTTTCCTTTAGAATAGTGTAACTTAGATTTGAGTCTTCATATCAAAGTGATCTTGTGAGCAAATTGGCCATAGTTCTTGATTTTCCACTTAATTAAAATATATATCATTTTCATTATCTTTTTTAGTTTAGCTTGTATTTATTGAGTTGTTATTAACTCTCAGACGTTGGGACTTATGCAATTGAATTTGGGAAACTTAGGGTAAAATTAGAAAACTGTTAAGATATCTGTGTTGTCATACACCCCATGACTTATTTTTCAAGATTGAAATGCTTCAGAATTTTATATTTATAGTATAAGAAATGACCAGTTAATTACATTTAAAATGAATTTATAATTAAGACATGCCACTTAACCTATGTGTGTCTGACATACTTGAATGAGTGTGTGTTTGGTTTTTTTCTTCTTATTTTTATAATTTTTTCAAAATTTTATTAACATATTTACACCACCATAGTCATTAGTTGCGCACAAAACATAATTTGACCAACCCTAGTTATTGCCATAGTACCTACATCTAAACCCAAAAGGAAAATTGCTATTCTTTGGAGAATGGCAGTGGCAGTATTTCCCCTATAACATGTTTCAAATTTCTGCTATGTTCAAGTTTGTATTCGTTTCCTAGGGAAGCCATACCAAAATACAGCAAATGGTGGCTAAAACAATCCCTTTCTGTCTCTCCAAGTCTAAAAATCAAGGTGTTGGCAGGGCCATGCTTTCTCTGAAGCCCCTGGGGAAAGATCCTTTCTTGCCTCTCCCGGCTTCTGGTGGTGCCAAGCGTCCCCTTGGCTTCTGGATATATCACTCCAGTCCCTGCTTCTGCAGTCACCTAGCCTTCTTTCTGTGTATCTCTCTTCACATCACCTTTCTTCTTCTTAAAAGCACACCAGTCATATCGGATAAGCATCCACCGCCCTCCAGCATGACCTCATCTTGAGATTTCTAATTATATCTCTAATGACCCTATTTCCAAAAATGGTCACATTCTTAGGTGCTGGGAGGTAAGACTTTAAAATATCGTTTGGAAGGGCACCGTTCAACCCATCATAAAATTCATCTGCTACAAAGTATAGTTTTGTTTTCTCAGTTATCTTTGATTTGAACTTGCTTTATGTCTGAAAAGTGCCATTCCAATTCACCTTAAAGTTATGGTGTGAGAGCAGACATTATCTTCAGAATTCCATTTATATCTTGTCCATCCATTATGTACATGCAAGTAAGGATCTGGGAGAAAGTCTTTGCCGACTTCCTTCTACACACATTCCACACCACATAAGTCACTCTTCCCTTCAGTGGTATTTAGTGGGAATGTTATTATCTCATTCATCAGTAATCAACTATGAAAAATAACAGAAGGTTATACCAGGTATCCTGGAAAAGATTTCATGAATTTCTAGCTATTTATAGAATAATGATTGCTTTTGACTCATGTAGGTTACAAGTGCTTTTTAAGAACTTTTATGTAAGTGTTATAACCGATAATACATATAATTTTATTCATAAACTCAGAAAGATATAATATCATAATTTAATATAAAATTTAAAAATAATTTAACTTAAAGAGGGAAAGGATCTTACTGGTGTCTGTTGATAATTTACAAGCTATCATTAGCAGGCAATAGAATAAGTATCCTAAGACGCTAGCAGTGACACGTAAAAATTAAAGAATACAATTTGGCTCTGAGGTTTTATAAGTGCAACATGGAAGCTGGCTGTACCCATTCTAGTCTTAGTCCACATAATGAATATATACCCGAGAGTTCCTCTTTCAGATTTTCAAGTAAATTAGAACCTAGAGGCCTCTCTAATTGAGAGAAAAAGACATAATAAAAAAGCAGTATATAAAGGGGATATGATCTTTAGTATCACAATTAACAACTTGCTATAGCAAGAAAATATTTATAAAATGAACCAACCACATAGAAATAGATCTCAGTAGACCCACCCTAGCTTAATAAGACTGCCTATAATTGCCGGTTAATCTTTCAGTGTAAGGCTGGTTTCTGTATGTTGAAAATATCCTACAATAAAATGCAAATGTATTACAAAGTGAAATTTTGAGCTTTTGAAAGAACGGTGTTTTATGAAGTTGATAAAATTGATATTAAAACATTAGTAGATTTGTCATTGATATTTGAGGATCTGGAAGAAACAGGTAATAACTAAAGAAGGAAAATCAACAAAGATTAAGATGGAATATGCATTTCCAAAGATCAAAAGAGAACGTTTGAAATAGCAATGAGGAATTGCTATTTTAAGGAATGAGTGGCCTTAAATTGGTGAAGTCCTAAGATGTTTTCAACAATTATCTCTTTTTTTTTTTTTATCATGACATAGTGGTTAAGGACCACTAATCACATGTCTGTTACTTACTTTCATAATCTTTGACAAGTTACTTAAACTCTCTCTGTCTTAGTTTCCTTTTTTATATATTGACAATGATAATAGTACCTACTACATGAATGTGATGTGGTATTTATATTGTTTAAACTATACAAGATTCTTAGAAACATGACTAGCACTTAGAAAGCACAATGTAATTGTTAACCACCATTACATTTTCAAATCTAACATTTGTGAGGATGCTGTGTTGAAACCAGAAATAAAGAGGGCACATATGCTTGCATTAGTGGATGAGCAATTGATCGAATATTTCCATCATGCTCAGCCTTTGCGTTTTTTTAATGCTTACAGTTGTATCGTAGTGAGAACAAATCAAATATTAGTTAGCAGTCACTATAACCCCTAAATTTATATACACATTAGTAAATATGCAAAAAGTTTGGATGCTGTTTTTTTTACAATGAAAAATTCTATGGCCAAAGAAGAGAACCAGTTTTGTTTATTCTTAAAAATTAGAAAAAAATGATAGCATGTTATTTATTTTGCTCATCTCATTTGAAGTTCTCATCTAGTTATCTCATAAAGCTAGCATGAGTGTTGTTAAATCCTGAATAGTACCCGAGAGAGAAGTAAATATTGTCATTCTGCCAACTGTGATGTTGGCAACTTCTTCATGACTTTACAGGTATAATGTTAAACTGAGGTGAACTTAAAATAAATATTATATATATTATATATATTATATATATATATATATATATAATTTTGAGATTATATATATAATACTAATATATAAATATAAATATAAATATAAATATAAATATATATATCAACATATCAAATATTTAGTTTATGCAGTGATCTCTTGCCCACCAAATTAAGTTATAAGAAATGATAAAAGCAGTATTTTGAAGAAGGGACACATATATATGTTATGAAAATAATAATATAAATTAATTGACTATATTTTACTGTTATTATGTTATTATAATCCAAGTGTGTGTCGTCCCCTTTTTACTTCTCTTTGAGTTACACACACACAGACACACACATTAATTTGCAAAAAGCAATGTGTAATTGACTGGAAATATGAAAGGGAGATAGAGCGTAGGTTTATGTCATTTACTGCACGAATCACAAATTGAAATTTAGTTTAGGTGAAATACTTCTTACACTTTTCCCTCCCTTTTACTCGGCCCACTATGTGCCTTGCATTTTGTGTACCATGGATGCCATGCCAAAGTTTATCTCTCAACTTTGATTCTTCAATTTTCTCTGGAGTTCCACATTCTTTATCATGATAAATAACATGGTTCTATTTTAGATTTTCCTCCTGAATTTGTATAACCAATGACATTTCATAGTTGCCAGCATTTACCTTTTTTAAAAAACTGATGACAAGTTATAGAATATAACAACACCAACATCAAAAACCGGTATCGATCACAGTCTTCCTTGGGGGGAAACATATATTCAGTCTCAGAAAATAGCAGAAATCCCTGGCCTCTTTCTTCTGCCATGCTTTTTATACCTTCAGAGTCAGGTGAAATCCTGTATATCACTTTCCTCAAGTGTGTATCAGGCCCACTTTCAAACTTTGTGAATTTCTGCCTTCCCAAAGGATGCGGAATT